GGTCAGAGATTCCAATCAGCATGAGATAATATTGTTACTGACAATTTTGATATGTCTGCCAACAAAAGCAAACAGCATTATGCAACTAATGCCAAGTCTAACGTGATGCCAAATTAAGTCTAAGTGAGGCACCAAAATAAATTAGGTGCTGCCTTCCAAATGAGGTATTAGACTACATGTAGGTAATGCAAAAAAAAAGAAAAAAAAATTGAGACTTTGAGGCTCTTGGATGCCCTTATTTACATTTCAGATATAAAAGATCAAAGAAATGGAGATTAGAAGAGGGATTTGAGGATATTTATTAGAAGAGAGATATGTCCAGAGGCATACCCATTCTTCTTGGTGAGGACCCCCCTACACCAAGTCTTTAGAGCCTCTTCAGTAGGATTGCCAAAATGGCATGGTGTGTGTTGCCCACTATTGGGAGACTCTGGCTTAGGAAACTAAAGTAGAGCAGAGGGCTATTCTATCTTGGAAGTAACAGCACTTATCTCTATGGGCCATCGAAGGGGTAAGGCTCCTCAGGACCAGATGCAGAATCTGGCAGGAATATTGGCCTGGGGTCACTATAAAGGGACCCTGGACTTCTGATCCTGGCCTTCATGGAGTAACAAATCTTAGACATCCCCTCTTATGGTAAACAAATATAAAACTGGACAGAGTGCAGGAGACAATTGTTTCAGCCTTTGGATGACAGACGGCACAAAGCTATGCTATGATCTTTGGGAGACCCCAGGAAGCTCTATATCCCCCTGGCTCTCTAGAAGTGAAACCCACACTAACAGCTGTGGTCTTTGGGCAGAGGGCCGGAAGTCAGAGTTCAAGGCTGTGACCTGGAGTTTTGAGGCAGGATACTAGAAAGGAGGGAGCTGCATGAAGAAGGAGCTGGGAAGCTGCACATGGGTGGGTTTCCTGGAGTCTTTGTCCAAATATTAAGTTGCATATCCAGGGTTAAGCTCCACCAGACCTGGCAGCCACTGAGAGATTGTGAGACAAATGGAGGTTCCAAATGTTGCAAAGATCTGGGAAATGACTTTGGGATTCTGACCAGCTGAAGTGGAGAGACCTCCATGAGTGGACCTTTAACAGAGCAGAGAGATCAGCTAGAGTGGAGAAACTTCCATGAACGGACCTGATATTTTGCCTGTAGGAGCTGTTGTGGGTTCCCTGGACAGAGGGCCCCTCCGCTCCCACCTATGGGCAGTGCTCTTCCTGCTGTTGAGCTGCTGGCCCCAGTAACACACCCCGCAACCCTAATGATTACGTTCCCTTTCCTTTTTGGCAGGGTCTCTTCCTCTTGCTTGAGGTTTACTGAATTTCTTGCCATTGTTGGTTAATATTTTCCATCAGATTTGTAGAGTATTCAGTCATTATTTCCTTAAATATATTTGCATGTGTGTTGTTTCCCAGATCATTCAATAAAGACCATGCCAGAGGAGTAGAGCTGTTTGAGCTCTAAAACAGAGGTCCACAAACTTGTTTAGTAAAAAGTAGATACATCTTTTAGATTGTGCAGGTCATAAGGCAAAACATGCTTCAATAAGCTCTTACCTTGTCCCTCCCCATCTGCCCATAGGCCCTCTTGGGAGGTGACCCACTTGGTGCCCAGCTGCCACCAGCTGGAAACGTTCTTGGAATGAAAAATGACCCGCCCAAGAAGGAAAGACCAGGTGTGCCAGATAGGCAGGTGGGAAGGGGTGCTACTATGTGGGTCAGTTTCTCTCAGCCCCAACAACATTCAGATCTTTTCTTCCTCCTGGAGATTGTGGCTGTCTCTGGTAAATCACTGGTTCATGGACTGAGATTCTGCTGCATCATATGGTGCCTGAGGAAGCAGGCACTGGGGACGGAGAGCAGAGAGAAGTAAGAGTGGAGGGAACACCAGGGTGTGTCTTAGTGGTTCACCGTGCTGTGCCTTCCAAGTGCTGAGCACTGGCCATACAAAACCAGCAGTAGCTTCAAAACCATACAGAACTAGGCAGAAGGCAGGACCTCGCCTCAGGCTGCAGTGTGCTGAGCACGGCCCTCCAGTAAGAGCTACTCTAGATCCACGCTAGCAAAGCCCCAGAACCCATGCTTCCACAGGATCAGGCTCTGTCGCCAGTAAAATATTTTTTAAAAAGAAAAATCCTTTTAGTTTGGTGCAAAAGTAGTCGCAGTTTTGCCTTTAGCAAAAACATATGTACATAATACACACACGAATATATTTAAAGAAATAATGACTGAACAAATCTGATGGAAAATATTAACTAATAATGCCAAGAAAGTCAGTAAACCTCAAGCAAGAGGAAGAGACCCTGCCAAAAAGGGAAGGGAACTTAATCATTAGGGTTGTGGGATGTGTTACTGGGGCCAGCAGCTCACCAGCAGGAAGAGCACTGCCTATGGGAGGGACCAGATAAGCCCTCTGCCCAGGGAACCCACAACAGCTCCTACACACAAAATGTCAGGTCCAGAACATGACACCAGCTTCTAGATCTGCAGGACTATTCCATTCCCTGGTCAACTTCTCCCTTACTGCTTTTCCTTAGGAGTGAGCAGGTGAGTGGGAAGAACCACCCCTCTCTTCTAGATCCCAGGCTTCTCCCGGCACCTGCCCCAGCTGGGGGGAGGGAAGAAGACATACTATAAAATTAGGCTTGTAGTTAGGATCAGTGCTTCTCAAACTATCATGTGCACACAGATCAGCTGGGGAGCTTGTTAAACTGCAGGCTCTGATTCCTTCCGTGAGTTTGGGTTGGAGCCAAAGACTTTGCTTTTCTATTTCAAACAAGCTCCCATATGAGACCAGTATTTTGGTCCTCAGACCACCTGATAAATTGTAAGGATTTGGATTACCATCTAGGCTTAAATCTTTTAATTCCTGTATCTGATTATGTTAGTGGTGTGGAATAATCACAGATTTTCTAGATTTTAGGTATAACCAGAAAGCCATGAGAACTGCTGGAGTTTTCATTCTGGGGCTAGGGATGGATCTTTCTCTAAGCAGCTTTATAGGGACAATAGGAGGGAAATACAAGGCTGCTTTTGTGGGTTTTTCCATAAGTCTTGCTGGTTTGTTATATTGTTTACACTGGCAGAGGCACAGTTTCTGTTAGCTCTTCAAAGGATGAAAAATAGCTTGCATTCACCTCCTCGCTCCCTTGGTGCCTGTGATGGTCAAATTCCGTGTGTCAACTTGGCTAGGCCCATAGATATTTGGTCAAATCCCAGTGTGGATGTTGCTGTGAAGGCAATTTTAGATGAAATTAACATTTAAATCAGTAGACTTTAAGTAAGGCCAATTACCCTCCATATTGTGGGTAGACCTCATGCAATCAGCTGAAGGCTTTAAGAGAAGCCAGATTAAGGTCTCATGAGGAAGAGGGCACTCTGCCTCCAGACTGCCTTCAGACTCAAGCTGCAGGATCCACTCTTTCCTGCATATCAAGCCTGCCCTGCAGATTTTGCATTTGCCAACCTCCATAACTGCATGAGCCACTTCCTTTAAATAAACTTTCTCTCCCTCTCTCCCCACCCCCAATATATGGAGAGACATAGATAAACAAATAGATAGAGAGATAGATAGATAGATATAGATTATACACACACACACACACACACACACATATATATATATATAGAGAGAGAGAGAGGGAGAGAGAAAGAGAGAGAGAGAGAGATGTTTCATAATTGACAGTAGTGGCCATATATATAGTGGGAACTTTAATAAAAAGTCTGACATAATAAAAACCACAACACAGGACTCTATGGTTGTTTTCCAGCCAGATCAAGCCACATCTCTCTTGGAGTGTACTCTCATTCAGTAAACTCTCTGCTCTTTTTGCTAAATTGTCTCTTGGCCAAATCCTTTCTCTCAAAAAAAGACAAAAACCAAGGACTCCCACACTTCCAGGTGACATCCTCACAATGCTTAGGGTGAAGTGTAGGTACCAAAAGACTATTCTTATTTTTCCTATACACTTCACTGTTGCTTCATGTCTCTCCATGTTACCACAGTTAAACCCACTGTGCCTGTGGACTCCTGGATTATCCTGTGACACTGGCCAAGGCAGCTTCTTGTCTTTATGCCATGTGACAAATGGGCCTGGGAGACAATCACTGGAACGACCACGTGCAACATGACAGCCATTCAGTGCAGCAAGGAAGCTGTATGCTATTGTAAGTAGATATTCTTCAGCCTTACACTTTGCTGAGATTATTGCATGCTTAAAATTTTATAATATCCTTATTGAAGATTAAAGCAGACCATATTCTTCAATGCTCCAAGGGGAAAGGAACAGATTTTAGTGACTGCCACCACTGTCTGTCCTAAAAGAATGTTGCCTGTCACCTAGGAGGGAAGCAATGGCTGACTCAGGCCAGCTCTTGTAAGATGGGACTAGGGAAGGTATAACTGGGGGAATCCTGCACTACTGAGACCTCTGAGGAAGTTCCAGGAGAAAATATTCACCAAGAAGGCACTGAGAAGTCAGTACATGTTTTATAGCCACTCTTATCTGATTATTGCTTCATGCTATCCTGAGTATAAAAGGAAGCTTTCTTTAAAACAAAAAACTTCTGATTGACTTATGTCTTTTGCTGTTTTAAACCTTTACTTGCTGGAGAAGAGGGAGGAGGAGGTGGGAGAGAAGGGGGAGTAGAAGAAAGAGTGGAAGGAGAAGGAGGCGAAGGAGGAAGAGGAGGAGGAAGAGGAGAAATAAGAAGGAAAAAGAGAAGGAGAAGAAAGAAGAAAGGAAGAAAGAGGAAGAGGAGGAGGAAGAAGAAGAAAAAAGAAGGAGGAGGAGGGAGGGAGAGAAAGGGGAGGAGAAGAAAGGAGGAAGGGCAGGAGAAGGAGGAGGAGAAAATCTATTATTCAATTTAGTAGCGTAATTCAATTCAAGTCAAGGAATTGGCCAAAAATTCCACTAAAATATTGACTGAATTCGACTTCTCCACATTCAAAGTATCCTTTCATACGCCATTTGATTGCTGTCATATATTACAAGTCTTCACAGGCCTAAGGTATTTCATGGGTTTATTATTTTTCAACACAGAATTTTGAACTAAAACTCACCATGTTCTATTTACATATGCAAGTAAAACATTTTAAAATCCAAGCAAAGTTGAAGCCCTTCAGCTGGTTTTCTTTAAGTAGAGATGTCAGGTCGCTTATTCAAGATCTCACTGATATATACAAGTCAAAAAAATCTAATCCCTTAAAATTTTACTCACTGGCTTGCTCATGCTGCTGATTATGTTTTGATCATGTTACAGCACTCAAATGAGACGCCACAGATAAGAAAGCCAGAAAGGCTTTCTCACCTTTTTCTATGATTAACAAAGCCTCAGGTTTGCAACTCATGAAATTGTTGGAAGAGATCCTAGACCTATTTTGTAGGTGAGCAAACTGAGGCACAGAGGCGTGTGAGGTGTGAACAAGCTTTCTGGTCATGGAATAGTCACAGGATTGTCTCTGCACCTCCTCTGCAACTCTGAGCCTTGCTCAACCCCATCTGATTAGGGAGAGGCAAGCTTGCCACAGAATAGAATTGTGTTGGTATCAGTGTGCCTTATAAAGAACAGGAAGGGGTGGTTCGCCATGAACTGAGCTCGCATGGGTAGACTTTTTAGAGCGATGCTGTCCCCAGTGGCTGCTGCTGCCTCCGTGCCCTCTTCGCTGACATCCAGGTATGACTTGTGGATGGCTTTTGATAGATACAGGCCCTTGGCTGGTGACATTCCAGAAAGATCAGCTTTGACCTGGTTGAAGATATCTGTCACCCCTAGAGATTTTAACAGGGAATTTAGCTCATACTTCATTTCAAGTTTGAACCGAGGGAGATGTACTTCAACTTCTCTTTCCATCATGTTAGAAGAGCTGGTCCACTCGTGAAACATCTTCGAATTCAGCTGCTTTTCTATCTAAGAGACAAAATACAGATGAGCCCACATGAGCCAAACACATGACCTCTGCATTAGATGTCATTTGTTTTTTTCATTCTCAGTGTGAGTGGTTTAATTTTCCCTTAAAATTAGCCATTAGCCACATTTTCCCTTTTCTGTTGTCTGTTTCTCATCGAAATTTGATAATTAGTCTTCTGAAGTTTGTATCCTACAGTCTTCTCCCTCGATTTCCTCAGCATGCATGCTTCAACGCACTTCTCCCTGTATCGTCTCTGAGGTCATCATGCTCCTGTTTCCTGAATGAACTCAACTATTTCTTCTTGGTTCTCATATCTGAAACATTTCACGACACCCTCATTTATGAACTTGATTCTCGTTTGGCATCCCTGATGCCAGGATCCCCATGCACTCTGGTAGCTCTCATCCTCTCATGCCCTTCTCTGTTGCTGTCTCTGGTGGCTGCTCCTGAAGCTGAACTCTGGGCCTCCTGCGCCTCTGCCCAGCATGTCAGCTCCCATGTCAATGCTCAGGTTTCCCAAAGCAGCCTCAGCATGCTAACTTCTCATTCCCCATCCAGTTTCATCATTTTTTCGTAAACCTTTCAAACGCCCCCTCGAGCACTGAACTCTCCAGCCAGGCCTGTCCACAGCTCCAAACCACCACGCTATGTCACATCCCATCCTTCTACTCGGAGAGTTTAAAATGATTTTGGCAACTACTCCCTATCATGACAATATAAAATTCACCATGAAGTAAAGGTGGTTTTTCTTCCAAAGTGTCTTTTCCTTTTGTCTTTTTTCTGCCCACATCCAAGAGACCATGACTTTGCACCACAGCTCATGCTGCCTTGCTTTAAGGCATTTGCACTGCTGTTCGCTCTGCTTGGTGTAGCAGGGCCCCTGCAATTTGATTCTATTTTATTCTGTAGAATTCTATTCACCTTCTATTCATCCAGCAAGGCTCGCACTGAAATTGCTCTACTAGGAAACCCTTTCTGACCCCTTCATTCTAATCCCATAGTCTGCTTCTAGAAAACTTCTTGCAGAGTCTAAACTGTTCCCAAACTGCTTTATGTCTCCAAATATCTTTCACTCCAGACAACCACAAGCCCTCAGGACCTGATTCCCTCTGACTTGACCACAATCACAAGCGTACCTGTTCTCATGGCCACAGCTGCACTGCTGTTACTACAGCTCCCTCTCAATTGGTACCCATCTTACTTCTTAATCCAGATTATGTCCTGACCCTGCTCTTTCAAGAAGCCTTCCCTACCACCCAACACACATACACCCTGCTCACCTACACAACAGTGTTTTTGCCTCAAGCCAGCACTCCCTGGCTTAGAAGTTTCTCATTGTGTGGCCATCCCATCCACATGTATCAGCTTCTGCAGGCTCCCAGAAGTTCAGCTATTAGGACAGCCTGTTCTGTGCTGGGCAGCTTTGGCTGCAGCTGGGGAAAGGGGGATGGATCTAAACTCCTTTCACCACTGTGACCACTTATTAATGAGTGTGGTGCCCATTTCTCCACAAAACTGAGATGTTGAAAATGGTTAGCCCATGAAAGTACATTACAAATGGCTCAGAAATACTGCCCCTGAGAGTAAGATGGCTTAATCAGATCTTTCTACGCACTAGGAGCCCAAATAGCATTATAACTTTATTACTGTAGAAAGATGTCCCCCAACTATCAAACAACCAGTATTTCTATTTGTACAAAATATCACTTCTGCATTCATGTGGCTTTTCCATGTAAGAATAGCTTGTTCTCCATAAATACATTGTCCTGAAAGGCAGGGACCATGTGTCTCCCCACCACTTTCACAGCCCCTGGGGCAATTCTACTAAGGCCTAGATTGTGAATCAATGACTAAACTGATGTCATGAGTTACACTGTGTGTGTGTGTGTATGTGTGTGTGTTTGTGTCTGTGCGTTAACATGCACACATGCTTTAACTGCATTACCTGTTTTAGATTATCTGTGCCTACTGGAAGCAGAATAATCATGCTTAGTTTGTTGTTCACATACGGCAACTCAAGAACCTGCATCTGCGGCTCCTTTACGAAAGCCAGTTTAAATGTTCCAATCTGATACATCATTTCCACAGTTACATTTTTACCCTGCTAAGAAGAAAAAGATTATAATTAGATAGTGTATTTACCTACGTGAGTGCACATGTGTGAATACTGATTGCCTTGCATAACATGAATATCTGCATACACACTCTAAAGACATGGGTAAAATAGAAACTACAAAGTAGATGCCTTGTTATTTCCCTTTGCAAAGGTTATCCATTTTTTAAATTTAAAATAAGTCATGGTTAGAGACTGAATTGTTCTAATAATATGTATAGGGAACTTGGTCTACCAAAAACAAAGTCAGGGTTTCTAGCTAACATGATTTTTGTGGGAAAAAAATATATAGTATTAAATTATTTCTTTTTAATCTTTCTTCAAGAAACTCTCCAGAAAAAAAATAACACAGATAGCTTTAGTGTGCTGCTGGAGAAAATAACCATCGTATATAGAGAAATAATGCACCCATAGAACATTAAGGAAACAATGGGTTTTCTTCTCTGTCTGAGAATCTTAGTATCCCAAGACTCCAGGTGGGTGCTCTGTGATAAAAGTTACTGTTACTTAATAAAGGAAAAATGAAAATTTGTAGAAAATACAATAAAAAGAACCAACAGAAACCTAGACCAATATTTTCACTAAATCCTTCTAAATTGTCCTTAAATGATTATTGTGTTCTCCAACATTTGTCATCAGTCCAAAAATAAAATACTTACCTCACTTAGCTGAAAAGGAGTTTTAATCGTCTCTCTTTCTTGAAATTTATTTTGCCATTGTCCTTTGAAATAGATGGCATTAACCAAGACCAGTACAGATGAAGGGTCAATTGTGTCCTTTCCAAAGAGATTTGTGACTTTTCCTTGTATAAAAAATAAGATAATTGTATTTGGATTTGAACTTATTGATAGTGGAGAGTTGAAGAGTCCTAAGAAATTTAGAGCCATTTCTTTTTTAAGACTAATTGTAAATTTGAGATACCAGAAGAACTACTTTCATCTCTTGGCCATGGAGCCTTCTTTGTCAAATGAAGTTTATTTCAGAGAATATTGAATGCTTAGTTATTTAATCAGAAGATGGCACCCAGGGAGTAGCTAGTATATTAGTGATAAGTCAATTTGTCTTATGCCTAGTTATATCCAGTGCTTTCTTGTACATTACTGCTATTTAAATATTACTTAATAATTTCTTGTGGCTTACTTTTAATATTTACTAGACTTTATAGTTACCACCACTTCAGTACGTGCAAATATGTTAAGCATTTTTAAATACTTATTATTTTATACCCCAGGGGCTGTGAAAGTAGTGGGGAGACACATGGTCCCTGCCCTTCAGGACAATGTATTTGTGGAGAACAAGCTATCCTTACATGAAAAAGCCACATGGAGGAAGAAGTGATATTTTGTACAAATACGCACAAGTACTGTTTGTTTGATAGGTGGGGGACATCTTTCTACAGTAATGAAGTTATAATGCTATTTGGGCTCCTAGTGTTAAGTATTTAAAATACTTATTCTTTCAATGCACAAATATACAATAGCACTTAAAGTAAACACATATCTGAATATCAAGATTCATAAAATTATGCCAGGAATTGCTTTGTAAATAAACTGATCAAAATTAAACATCTAGCCCTGTTGGTGAATTTTGGTACATTGCAGTTTATAACACCTTTTTGGAATGTAATCTATTTTACAATTTGAATCATAGGAATATCTGAACGACAACTTTAAGCTTCATGAAGGTTTTAATTTTCATTGAACTTCTAGGCCTAACACAATCCTAGCATGTGATGGTAATATCTAACTTTAAGTGTACAATGTATATTTTTGAATGAAATGGTAAATAAAAATATAAACAAATGATGAAATAACAGTAATATTCTACATAAATATATAACATGTGAATCCCTAATGCACACCCATGACAGATAACACTAATCATCTTTTTACTCATGCTAAAAAAAATTAAGCATTTTCTAAATGCTGGGCACTGTTCCATGCACTGTAGCACAAAACTCAGAATATAACACAAAACTAAGCAGACAAAAATCTCTACTGTCACAGAGTTAGTGACTACTGGCTCAATTGTGGGCTTTTTCAAGTAACCTAAGTTTAAGCCTCAGACTCTCAGTACAGACTTCCCAAGCAGCTACTACCAGCAGATTAGAGTTAGCACAAGAGATGAGGCGTTTTTAACACTACTGTACTAAGTAAATTAACAGATATGAAAATATGTATATTCCTAGGTATTTTATTCTCTTTGTAGCAATTGTGAATGGGAGTTCACTCATGATTTGGCTCTCTGTGTGTCTGTTATTGTTGTATAGAAATGCTTGTGATTTTTGCACATTGACTTTGTATCCTGAAACTTTGCTGAAGTTGCATATTAGCTTATTGAGATTTTGGGCTGAGATGATGGGGTCTTCTAAATATACAATCATGTCATCTGCAAATAGAAACAATTTGACTTTCTCTTATCCTAATTGAATATGCTTTATTTCTTTTTCTTGCCTGATTGCCCTGGCCAGAACCTCCAATCCCATGTTGAATAGGAGTGGTGGGAGAGGGCATCCTTGCCTTGTACCAGTTTTCAAAGGGAATGCTTCCAGTTTTTGCCCATTCAGTATGATATTGGTGTGAGTTTGTCATAAATAGCTCTTATTATTTTGAGATACATTTCATCGATACCTAGTTTATTGAGAGTTTTTAGCTTAAAAGCTGTTGAATTTTGTCGAAGGCCTTCTCTACATCTATTGAGATAATCATGTGGTTTTTGAGAAAAACAAAGTGAAATATGTGTAGGAAAATGATATAATGTCTAGAATTTACTGCAATATAATCTTAAAGAGGTGTTGGAGAAAGGGTGAGAGATTACATGAATGAGGCCAGCCCTTAGTGAGAACTGTTACAGTTGAGTGATGGGAAAATAGGGTTCATTACATATTCTCTCTACCTTTGCATATCCCTAAAATTTTTCCTTAACCAAATATTTCTAAATTTAAAAAAATAAATATATCCTTGGTAACAAATATTTAACGTGTCATTTAAGAAATATTTATCAATATATATGGGTGTTTTAATTGTGAAAAGTAAATTTAAATTTAATTAATTTTAATTGCAGAATGGACCACACGTTTATGAAACAGAAATGGTGTTCACTCTCAAAGTCACTTTGTATAGATTATAGAACAGCTGATTGTAAGGGATATTTTAAAATATGGCCCATTCCTTTCTTGATGATTTGCCTACATCAGGTACGGGACTTCAGCCAACTTCCTCGTTAACAAGCCAACTCAGGTAGCTTATCAACACAACACAGACAGAGATTGGAGACACATATTGACTTATCCTTACCATTAGTTTTACTTTCAACCCAAGCATTAATTGTTTTCCTCGTTTCTTCTGTAGACTGTTCAAAATCCACAGTTTGCAACCTGGCTTGATACCATTTCTCAGAACAACTTAAATATTGCTGTGAAAGAAATGATAATTGAACAGCAATTCAAAAACAGTGTAAAGAAAACAAAAATCTACATCTTTATGTGTTCTAAAATTCTAATGCAGAGACAAAAGCAGTTCCTATAAACAAGTCTTAGAGGAATCAGAATCCAAATGTATTTATTTTAAATAAAACAAATAAATTTAACAAAATCCAAAACTCTTCTAAAAGGAATTTGCAGAAACCTTTTGTTGTTACTTCTGTCAAATGATAGGCTTTCTTAGTTTTAAAGTGTTAAAAGCAAAATGACAAACTGTAATACAAGGAGCACTTTCTGACTCTATTCCTACTCTTTCCTCTTCAAAGCAGACATGGGAGTTACTGCTCTCAGGTTATAGACAGGAAAACTGAGAAGTAGAATGGTTCAGTGACTTGCTTTTCTGAGGTCTAACAGAAGGTTTCTCCCATGACATATATCAATCTCCTCACAAGCTACAATAAATAGAATTAATAAGAAAATCATGATCTGATGAAAATACTTGGCATTTCTGTCAAATTTATGTAAAGTGTGAACAAAAGTATCTTAAAGAATGTATTATTTTGTTCACCTATAACATATCATCCAAGTGAAAGTGGTGTGCAAACTCAGTATAAAGAAATTACCTTTTCTTTTAACCAAAAATTCTTACTCCCAAACCCCTCCTGTGTAGCATTCTGGAGCCACCATGGCCCTAGATTTTTATAGAGCAGGAGATTTTATGTTGCCTTTCTGTCAAGACAACAGTGAAATCTACGTGGACCCAAATGAGATTGCCATGATTCAATTCCTGAGACCTTAGGAGCATACCTCCATAGCCCACTGGGACCCAGTGCCCATCATGAACTTAATAGGATGATACAAGACTTTGAAATATGGAAGATGTGTCTAGCATAGAATAAAAACAAAGCTTAACTAAGAGCAAAGTCTGGGCCTCAGCATGAATCTTGTCCTGAGCTGGATCCAATTGTGATTGAAACAACCTTAAGTAACTCTCCATAGCCCAGGAGATGAACGTTTTTCCAGCCAGAATCCTGAAGTAACAAGGTCTCTCTCATTACATAGTTCAAGACAATCTTCATGATGTGAATGAGGACCTTCTGACTTCAAGAACAGATGGCATCATGATCATCCCAAATCCACATTTAACTACTGTTATGTCTGGTTCACTGTTTTGAAAAGGCAAAGTCACGAGAGAAGGCACCCCAACTCGAAAGACCATGATTGTTAATCCCCACCACTCTAGACACTCCCCACAAATCATTCCCTATATGTTTACAGAGCAGTAAAAGAAAATACACTCTGAATATCTATAATACCTACCCCAAGTTGTAAATATTCTGACTGTCAGAAACTTATCACATCCAAGACAATCTGATTAGCCAGGCAAGGCAAGAACATGACAAATTCATGATTTCATCCAGCTTCACCCAGCTGGCATTTAAATAATCCTGGTCAAACAAAAGCTTGTATTTCACCTCAATCACAGCAGGTTGATGTAGCAATTAAAAACAGGAGGATGGCTTTGGATAGGGGTCAAATCCAGGCTTTGCCATTTAAATATCTCTGTGACCTTTGTCAACCTGACTTTTCAGAATCTGCTTCACAGTGTGTATGTAGAATTAATGGAAATTTTATACGCATATCTTAGCACAATGTGAGGATTATAGGAGATAAAGCCTGTAATGTGTTAAGCAGAATGACTGGCACAGAGTAAACACTCAATAAAGGTACAAAGGACCATGCTGTTGGTAAAGGGCATATATGGTGTTAGAATATTGGAGCTAGACATAACTAAGCCTAATCCTCTTATTTTAAAGATAGAAGTGACTTGCCCAGTTATGTATTCTAAATGGAAACAGAACTCCTTTCTCTTGGCTCACAATCCAATGGACTTTCAATGACGTCTTGATACTCCACTATTAAGAACCTTTGAAAAAGATACAAAGAATTGATTTTGTTTTTCTTCTGGTCCATGGGGATGGTTCTTACTTACTTTGTTTAGTGCTTCATCCCTGACCTTGGTTCTTGGACAGCCTTGGAGATCTTGCAGAAGTCATTTTTATGTGATATTTAGAACTTTACATGAGAGTTTCAGTAAAACCATTTCACTGAAACTGTAAGTCAGTGCAAAGTCAATGTCTTAATGATAAATGAATGTCATGTGACTCTTCTCACTCTTCATCAGTGTTGTGGTATGAAATTCAGAGGGTGCCAAGAAAGTTGTTGAGCACTCTTCCAAATGGGCTTACCTGATGGAAGGCCATCATCTTTGTCCCGTAAAGTCTGTTGGCAATGCTGAGGGCATAGTTAGAGTCTGGCTGGTTGATTTGAGAGAACAGGACATCAAACTCAGAATGAATTCTTCCAGCTTGAGAGCACTGAAGCATTAGTAAACAAAGAATGGTGTATTAAATTGCTTGATTTTTGCTATCGGAGAGTGATAACTACCTACAGAACAAGACGTTTGCCTCTGAATAAACGGGCTGAATATAAGGAAATGAGTTTCAAGCATTTTTTTCCTTGGATTTTGACTAGCACATTAATTTCACCACTCTGTAAGTTTGGTTGCAGTCTGTGTGCAGAATTATAAGTTACTGCATAATACATGTGTGCTCGTTGGTCCTAATGATTTAATTCAAAGGCAATTTTCATAAATAAAGAGATCCCAGTGGGGTGTTCAGGGCAATAATTCCAGTGTAACTGCTGCTTTTGTAGTTACAGAATCGTTTCTCTTGTCTCACACTTTTTTCTACGTCTCCATTTTTCATATGGTCATTTAATCAAATAGCTCAGCCCTTCACTGAACTGACTTTACACACTAACTTGCTCCTCAGTGGTAGCAATTCTGCTAAGCTGCAGCTTTGATGCATTTGAAAGATGGCTAAGAATTTATGGACATTATAGGGAATATGCCTATATTCCCTAAAGCATTCCCTAAAGAAAATGGTTCCTAACCCATGGACTTTGAACTTTTAATAGTAAGTTGGGTTCAGTGAAGCTGGTGTTCTATGAGTCTATATGCATTTATGTATTTTCTCAACCAATCACAATCAAACAGAAGTATTTTCATATAGGACTTCTATATAATTTTGATGTCAAAACGAATCCTTCTACTGGAAAAAACTGGAGACCATAGTCTCGGAGCATGTGGGTTAGACAGCATCAAGCCATGTTTTCCCAGCGTATAATTATACGGTCAAGCAGCATGATCCTCTATCAGTCCTCACTCTAGACAGAAAAGTCTAACACCACATAGACAAGACTGGCAGACTCAACATGAGACACTATCCATATAGGAACAAAAATGTTTGAGTAAGGATGGCAATAAATCAGGTAATAAAACCTAAGAAACTTTATTATAGTTATTGTTATCATTATCATTATTACCCACAGGCTGTAGTTTTCATCAGGAAGGTTAAAGAGGGACACAAAGCCAGTTCCCTCATGGGCAGAAGAAGGAACTCTTCTACTCAACACCCAGGCTGTTATTTCATCCTTCTCTTAGGTTAAAGAGCATTTGACAGCTCAGCAATAATATCATCATACCTTAGGTGAGTCCTTGAACTCTTGTTTTAATGAGTCTACAGTATGATTAAAATGAAGCACCTAGGAAAGAAAAATAAAGATCTGTTGGCGTCAGAAGAAATGTATGGTCTGCAAAGGTTGCAGTTTTAAGTATCTATTTTTCTATTTTAGATCAAGAACAATAGTGATAGCTAACTTTTAATAATGTTATCTTCCAAACTCAGCTCCTAAACTAAGTCTTTACATATCTTATTTAACCTTCCTAAGAACTTTATGAGTAGATACTATTACCCTCATTTTATGTTAGGGAAGCTATTAATAAGTCCAAGAGAGATCAAGCAGCTTGCCTCAGACCATTGTCAAGCTCCAGGTACTAATCTCTTATCCACTAGAACCTTCTGTTCCTACTGTTCTTAGTCTGTTAACTAGGGCAGTACCCATCTGGGGCTACGTAAGACCTTACATGGTTTCCCAGCACAAACAATAATAAGATTTGCAAGTATCCTAAGAGTTGTTAAGTGATATTCTCCTCTGATTTCCATTGCAATAAAAATATATCTAATGGAAAAATCTCCAATGTTAGCCTATATAACCTGAAAAGTCACCTTTCCTTTCTAAGTCTCAGTTTTTCAATCTGTAAAGTATGGATAACAATGCCTAACTTTTATAAAGTTCAAATGTAATCACTAAAAATTTTTAAACCTTGGTAATGCCTAAAATGGTATTACATTTATTATAAATTTAACCTTCTAGAGGACAATAATAGTAACTCTGTCACATTTAAATCACTGAAAGAAGGAACTCTAAACTGCAGAGATTTATTTGTGATACCACTGAGAGTAAGGAAGAGATCATGCATTACATTATTTGCACTACAGCATACTAAATTAATCAAACCATTATCAATTTTTAAGAAATATGCTCTACTCAATGTGGTTTTTTCTCTCCCAAGATGGCAGTTTTATTGATATAAATATAGAATTCATTTGGCTGACCCAGAGGGGGTATAAAAACTTCTGGGCCCTTGGTAAATCTCTGTGGAATTCCATACCTTCTCCAATTGCTCTGCACTCTCTCCCCTGGCACCAAGGAGGACCATGCTTAGAGCATAAAGTAGACTCAGCGGGGAAAAGAAGATGTTATCTCCTATGTTGTTACTGTTGAGCTCTTTGAACACATCAAGGCAAAATTCAACATTAGCTGTGCTGAGAGAACCCATTTTTATGCCAACCACTGCCTGAGAATAGAAGGGAAAAAATTATCACAACATCACTTGAAATGACAGCTAGGATCTGGAGTTCAGTTATTAAATTTCATGAGTTTAAGTATCAGGGCACACTGCTTCATGAAAAATTATACACCCTTATCACAATTTCTGAGAAGTTAGTAAATGCTAGAGAGGGAAATTCACAGTAGTTTTAGATTCTAATGAATAGAAGATTTACTATTCCTTCAGCAAACACTTAAAATCTATCTTACTATCATTGGTGTATATTTTTAAATGATCTAAAATGGTTCTGGAGCAAAAGATCAAAAGGAATGGGATCTTTGTGTTCTGAATTTTCATGCTTTAAGACATTCTTCTTCCTGGAATTTGTGCAGAAAAGTCTTGAACTGCACAAGATCAGCCAATCAAGATACTTTCCCAGTAGACTGCCCACTTTTGCAGTGTCACAGGAGGAGAACATCTCCATCCCAGTCATTTTTGTACAAACAAGTTGACAGCACTTGCAAAATTCCCTGCACATTTTTATCTCCTCAGTGGGACCTCATTCCCTGTACCCTCCATGAAAGGAAGATGATACTAACAAGTAGGTTCTCCCACAAGAAAGTGGTCAGAGCCCTCAGCCCTGAGACCACAGCCGTCATGTTTATGAAAATAAAAATGGAAAAGGAAAATCCAACAGGAAAAAAGACGGTGCTGAGTATGTATTATCTTAGGACAAGAATATGTCAGAAAAGAAGAACTCATTCTATTCAGTTCCACAAACATTGATTGAGCAGCACTAACTGTAGAGGGCTATGGATATAAAAATGATCAAGAATAGTTTCTGCTCTCAGGGAGGCTTCATTCTTCAGGAGCCTCATCACCATCAAACACTTTATTCTTTTAACTTCTGGGTTATCTTGCTCTCTTGGTTCACAGCCTGGCTCCTTGACTGCTCCTTCTCCCTCTCTTTTGCAGAATCTCTCTCAATTTTCAACCTCTAGACATCACAATACAACAGAATGCTCATCTTGAGCCTCTTCTCTATGAACACTCATACCCCAGGTGATCTCATTCAACTTCATGCCTCCAGTGTAACTAATATGCTGTTAGCTCCTGCATTTCTGCTGTCCTTGAATTCCAAACCCATATATCCAACTACCTACTCATTATCCACTTGGATGTCTAATATGTATCTCAAACTTAACGTGTCCAAAAGCAAATGCTTGGCTTACTAACTCCTCTCTCCAGCCTTTGTCCCTCACAGCCTTCTTTATCTCTGTAAATGGCAATTCCATTCTTCCATTTTCTCAAACTAAAAACCTTGGGATCATCCACAAGTATTTTCTCATTCTTACTCAATCAATGAAAAAAATTCTGTTTTCCCCATCTTTGGAAATATTCCTCATCTGCACATTTCTCATGCTCCTCAGTTTTAATAGCATGAGGGGGCTCCTGAATTACTGAAATAATATCCTAACTGCTTTCTACTCCAGTCTTTACCCTCCTCCATGATATTTTTGATAGACTAGTGTTGTTTTTTGTTTGTTTGTTTGTTTGTTTATTTGTTGTATTTTTTTTAGATGGAGTCTTGCTCTGTCGCCAGGCTGGAGTGCAATGGTGCAAATCTTGGCTGACTGCAATCTCTGCCTCCAGGGTTCAAGCAATTCACCTACCTCAGCCTTCCAAGTAGCTGGGACTACAAGCATGTGTCACCACCCCCAGTTAATTTTTGTGTTTTTAGTAGAGACGAAGTTTCACCATGTTTGCCAGGATGGTCTGGATCTCTTGACCTCATGATCAGCCTACCTCGGCTTCCCGAAGTGCTGGGATTACAGGCGTGAACCACCACGCCTGGCCCAACTAGTGTTTTTAAAACATCTGTTAGTTATGTATTCCTCTGCTCAAAAACTCCACTGCCTTCTTTTTTTTTTTCAGAGAAGAGGCCAAAGTCCTTACTGTGACCAACAAGGCCTTCTGTGATCTGGCCCTGGCCACCTGTCAGACCTCATCTACCACTCTCCCACCAGCTCACTCCATTTTAGCCATGTCACCACCTTGCATCCTTTCAACGTAACAAGTACATTTGCACTTTCTCTTCCTCTTCCATGATGTTCTTCCTGAAGATATTTGAACGGCTCATTCCAGCAGCTTAATCATCTCTGTTTACACAGCATCCCAGTACTAAGGCTCTCCCTGATCATTCTATTTGAAATCTCAGCCTACATCCCTCCATTCCATTACGGTAGCACATACCACCACTGGGCTTACTACACAGATATTTCTTATCTGATTCCCTGCCCTCTATAGTACATTAGAGCAAGGACTTTTGTTTTTGTTTTTGTTTTTGTTTTTGTTTTATGATCAGTTTATGCTTCAATTTTTTTTAGATTGTTTTCTCTTTCTTTTTCCCTTTCTTTTCTTTTTTTAATTTTTATTTTATTTTTTTAATTGCATTTTAGGTTTTGGGGTACATGTGAAGAACATGCAAGATTGTTGCATAGGTACACACATGGCAGTGTGGTTTGCTGCCTTCCGTCCCCTCGCCTGTATCTGTCATTTCCCCCCATGCTATCTCTTCCCACCTCCCCACCCCCGTCCCTCCCCCATTTCCCCCCAACGGAACCCAGTGTGTAGTGCTCCCCTCCCTGTGTCCATGTGTTCTCATTGTTCAACACCCGCCTATGAGTGAGAACATGCGGTGTTTGATTTTCTGCTCTTGTGTCAGTTTGCTGAGAATGATGGTTTCCTGTTTTGTTTTTATGTTTTATTCCAGCATCTAGACAAGCCCTATCCACAGAATAGCCACTCTATACATGTTTACAGAAGGAAGACATGAAGAAGGGAATTTCAGTCCAGTAAGTACTATGATATGCTGGTGTGCATAGAATACTGTTAAAGGAGAGAGGAGAGACACAGAACCAGGGTAGGAGTTACAGTTAGCCTTACTGAAAATATCCCTGCTGCTTCTAGAAGAATGAAATAAGCATCATTCAAGTATATACATGTAGGAAGAGCACTCCTGTCAGAAGGAATAGCATGAGCAGAACCTCAAACACCCAAAAGATACATTTTATATTATAAATGCATGAAATAGGAGTGCAAAAGTGGTGGGCAGTAGAGCTGAAAATAGTCAGTACTGTGGCCTTGGAAGCTTTGCATGCCCCTTGAGGAGAAATCAGAGATCACACCCCAGATAGCTCATGATAGAATTGGGTCTTCATGCCACCTAGTCAAAAGTCATATCATTTTTCTGAGAATCAATTTCTAAATCTCTCTCCTTCTCTTCTTTTTTCTCCCCAGACAACATATTAGAGAAAAAAATGTTGGTTGACCACCCTTCAACCCTTCCCTTGCACGCGATTGTTTTGTGCTAAAAGAACCTGCTCTGATGCAGATTTCATGCAGCCATGGGCTTCAGAGGAGGCTTCACCCTTCCCAGGCCCCAAGAACAAGCCTAGATTAGTCTAAGCAAGTTGAGGGAATTCTATGTCCCAAGTTTCTAGTGTAGGAGTCAGAAGGTACCATATGTCTTACTGGAAAGACAAAAGACGTTGCTGGAAGGCTTTTGGAAAAGGCTTCTGATATGAAGAGATCCACAAAAGAAAACCAGCCTCTTCTTCCTCTCACAGTTGGGTTATCTGCATGTGACTACTACTGCAGCAGCTATTTTGTGACCATGAGGTAGCCAGTCTAAGAGGATAACCCAGGATTTCAGAGACGAAGGACGGACGGAACTTGGGTCCTTGATGACACACCATTGAGTAAATGGATTACCTAATCCTGGATCTACCCTAGCTTGAGATTTCTTTTCATGTGAAATAATAACTTTTTCTTACTGTTTAAGCCATTGTTGTTCAGTCTTCTGTTACTTGCAGCTAAAAGCATTCTAACTCACTTCAAGGGTTTTTCTATTCACCCTTGCTCACTAGGGCCAATTAGCCCACTTACTCCACGTTCCCCTTTCTGTAACATAGCCACACTATAACCTGTTTAGTCCACCTGGGATCCAGAAATATTTTGTTCTTTTACCTCCCATCTTCTAGATTACAGCTTTGCCCTCTTTTAGAATCCGAGTCTAAGCCTATATGCTCTATGACACTATGACAAAGGCCAATACATATCCCCGCCAATATGTATTTATCCTAGTTACGAATGTGTCTTATTTCTAGTTAGTACGTATCTGATCTGAGCTTTCTGGAGATTTGTTCTCTGGGGTATGTCCTTATTTGTCATCAATTTAGGCATTTATGTCATGCTTTTCATCCTTTATCAGGCAGAGAGAGACCAGAAGGGAATATATGTGACTTGTGGACTTACAAAATAATGGCCCATGACATTTATATAGGAAAATTCACAAATCCTATAATCAAAGCCAGTTGCCCTAAAATAATCATTAAGTAGGAGATGCTGTGTGTTCCAGTTCTCAGGCAGCCCAGCACAGTCCAATAGAGCCTAGCAGTTATACTATACCAGGCCTGGACCACACTTTTCTTTGTTCTTGACAATTTTAAAAACAATATAACAGAAGGGTTTTACTAATCTTATTTTGCTAAAATACAATTGTGTACCTTTAACAGGATGTTGTCCTTCAAGGTGATTTTAATACAGCTCTCTGTAACACATGTAGTAATACTCGTGTCTGTGAAAGCTCTTTGTTTAGTTACTTTAATAACGAAAGCACTTCCAATAGTAAAGTATATCCAAGTCAGCTGCTCTTTATACTATAGTCTGCATGTTAGTGAATGAAGTAAGCTAGTGGAGTTGTACTCTGGAATGGAATGTAAATTTATTTATCTTACGTCATGTTGTAGTTATAAAACAGCCTGTTCACATACCATTGTAGCCCTGCAGTTACTAGAGCACCTATGAAAAGAGTTTGGAATACACTGACAGGCCACTTATTGTGTGCCAGGCACTTTTATTAGTCTGTTTATGTTTGTTTCTTCTTTTACAGCCACAAGCATACAAGGTTGAGGTCATTGCATGCTTCGGTTCTTAGCATAAGCCATCACTGGATTACAAGATGATTCTCTTCTTTGCTTATGGCCTTTGACCCAGTTCATTTCCTTTCTTCTCCACAACCATAGACGCCACTTATAATTTGTTTAAAGCATATTCTTTTATTTCTATGGGCTCCTGTAAAATATTGATTTCTTTATCTTATGCATTTTTAAATTTGCATAAATGAAGTTATGTTAAATAGTATTTAACATAAGCTTTGGGAGGCCGAGGCAAGTAGATCCCTTGAGCCCAGGAGTTTGAAGCCAGCCTGGGCATCATGGCGAAAATCACATCTCTCCAAAAAAATTTTTTAAATATCCAGTCACGGTGGCACATGCCTGTAGTCACAGCTACTCAGGAGGCATAGGTGGGAGGATTGCTTGAGCCCAGGAGGTCAAGGCTGCTGTGAGCAGTGATTGCAACACTGAACTCCAGCCTTGGCAACAGAGTGAGACCCTGTCTCAAAAAAAAACATAAATATAAGTTTCAACATACTTTTCACTTAGTACTAGATTTTTAAGATTCATCCATGTTATTCTGGGAATATAGTCCATACCTTCTAACTGCTACATTCTTCTGTTTGCACCACATTCATTTGCTCATTTATTTGCCAATGGCAGATACCCAAATGGCTTCCTTCATACCACCACAAACAGTGCCATGATGAACATCGGCACACCTATTCCCTTACACAGCTGCATGAGAATTTCTTTGTAAAGAAAATGGCTAAATTACAGAGTTCGTGTATATGCCAGGGAGTATATGTGTATTATTTAGACTCTTGAGTCTTGCAGGATTAGTGATGATGTTTGCCTCATGTCACAGTTAGATATTCCAGCTCTTCAAGCAGTGAGCTTACAGTACCAAGAAATAATACTTTAGCTTCAGGTTCAGGTTTTTCTCAAAAATCGTTGGCAATATAGAATAATAATTAATTCAAATAAATTTTGAAATAAATATAGTTTGAATTAGAATAATTCAAATTTTAATTAGTAGCATAGCTAAAACTCTGTCTTGCCAAAGACATGCTAAATATCAAATGAACTTTGCTTATTGGCAAGACGAAATTTTAATTATGCTATGAATGTAGCACCAAAGTGAATGAGCTTTCCTCATTCATTTTCCAAAATTCCACCTTTCTAGCCATTTGCAGAGATCTTTCACAATGGAGTTTCTATGTTATTCTTATGTTTAACTGGTTTTATTAACAATTCCCTCTATATCTTGGTGATTGCCTTAGCATGTGCAGAGGTGTATATGGATGGATTTACAGATTTTGGTTCATTGAATATACTGGTCTTCCTCACTAAATTGAACATTCTTTAAGGACAGAGAAAAGTCATCTGTAAAATTGTCAGTGTCTTCCACATTCACCCAGGAATCAATACTTACTAGGGAAATCAATATTCTGGATGTTTTACAACTTCAAGTCTAGTTAATGTTGCCTAGTCCATTTCATGGAAGCAGAACTCATGGAAGACAGAAGTCCCAAGTCACACAGAATTTTATCAAAGATGTATGGACCCCCAAAACAGCCCCCACACAAGTGGTAAGGAAGTTGACTGTGTCTTGGAAAAAAATCTTCTTCAAGGAAATGAGATGTGTCATCTGGAAGTTGTTATGACAGAAAAGAAGGATTCTACGCAGTAACCCTTCTAGGTTGAGAAGAGGGATTTCCAGAAGAGACAATCCTATTTGGGATATGTGTGGAAGGGAACACATCTTAGAATGGGATACTGACACTAAAGGACTGCAATGGATAGAAGGTTTGGGCCTGTCCTTTTGGAGGAAATACGTCTCCAAGGGTGGCTAGGACACCAGCATCTTACAATCTATACCACACCCTATGTAGGTTCTTCCCCTTTCACGAGACTCTTCTATTGTGACCACTTATCTAGCACCCGCCTCTCCTTCCCTAAATCAGAGCTATTCTTTTACTCTCACTCTGCCCTACAACTTGGTGAATTTCACATCCGCTCATTCTTAGAAGTAGTAGGAATTTCAGAATGTTCACGTAAATATAAACCATGTCATTTTACCTGCATGTATAGAATACACATATTACTTAGGAGACTAATTTTAAAGCTGTAAGAGGAAACTGAAAGGCAGGAAAAGAAAGAAATTGTTTCCAACACATAGTGATTAGTAAGGCTAGCGTAGTGAAGTTGAAATCTTCTAAGGAGCTAAGAAGTGTTTCAATACACAGAGGCCACAACATGCATGACTAGCTTGTGTTTTGAATAAAGATTAGTAAGTAGAAAATATCAACAGAGTTCCGTTTTACTAAACTTTTCAAAGATCTGAAATCAAGTCAGCCTGCCTCAAAGATTCTTAAATGCACACTATCAATGATACTCAAACATGCTAATGCATTTATCAAGGGTTCAGCAAATGACACACTCAAGTAATAAGCTGCCCCTTCATTTGGCTCATTACACAACCTGTCCAAATGCCATGGTTTACTCTTATTTGCTGTTCCCTTAGACAACAAGCACGGTTGAGACAATAAAGTAAAGAAACGTTTATCTTACCTTTGCTGCTTTCCGGTGGTGAAGTTCACAGTGTGGTAAGTTAGACTGGAGCTGCATGCTCAAAAGGAAATATAAAACCTTCATATTTTGCCCCTCCCTTTTCATTTGTGTCCTTAGTGATTCAGCTCTTCACCTGCTGGTTGAAAAGTACAGCCCTGAAAAGGAAGTTCATCAAGAGTTTCTTTAAATCTCCAGAGCCCAGTATGGTGGCTCACTCCGGCAATCCCAGCACTTCAGGAGGAGAATGTGGGAGGATTGTTTGAGGCGAGCTAGGAGTTTGGGACCAGCCTGGGCAACATAGTGAAACCCTGGTCTCTATTTTAAAAAATTAAAAAATAAAAATAAAATTACTAATGAGATTCCCAGAGACTCCCAAGATGGCCAGTGCTTTTCAGAGAAGCACCCAGTTCTTAACCTCCTTCTGCTTTAGTAAGAAAAAACACTGACAAGCCTAGCTTCTATTCAAGAAAAACAAGATGTCAAAGAGATTGCCATCAACCCAACAAGTTGGCAGTGCATATGCAAAATTCCAGGGATCTCCCGTGTCGGTGCACATGGTACAAAGCTACTCAGTAGGAAAGACCCCAGCTGTGGCAGATGCTTCCTGACCTGAGGAACACTCATCCCAAGATCTCCTGGGCTCTTTTGCATGGAGCATATGTTTTTATGTGTAGCTTCAGCAATCTACTAGCAGGTAAATTCTGTCCCGTAAAAAAAAATACACAAGAGTTATGGAGTTAGTAATAACTCAAGCAAGAGTTATTCTGTGGCTTCAGTTTAAAAGCTTGGTGGGGGCAACAAGCCAGCCCTACCTAAAGCGAATTCAGAGGCTGAGTCATGATTCAGGAGTTGGGAAGAAAAATTACAGATTACAGGTAGGAATGAGAGTTAGAGACAGATAGTGTTTGGGCTGTGTAGTAGGCACAATCAGCATTAAGAGAAAAGCCCAGCTTCCCAAAGGCCAGTCTTGACCATGCAATGCACAGCCCAGCCTCCCCAGGTTGATACCCCTTGCCAACTAATGATAGCAGACTGCACCATGCTTAAGATAGAAAAAAATCCTTTAAGGCCAATGATTTTCTTTTCATTTTCAATGCACTGCATTTCTCCTCTTAGTCCAAACTAAACTATTCTACAAGACAAGAGAACCAGAAAACATGGGTCTAAAGTTATAGTCCTAATATCCATTTTGCACATAAGGTTCTCATAAAAATAATTGTACACAACCAATCACACAGAGCTAAGAGGGATCCCAAGTCTGTCCAGTCTCTCTGCTCAGAGCACACGTTTTCTGACATGAGATAATTCCAGCTGGGGGATTTCAGGACCTAAAAGCCTCATATCTACCATTAAGGCTGATCTTCTACCTTTCGACTTTGTTTTCATCTCTCTTGAGATTCCATAAAAAAAGGGGGTTGAATCTCTTAGCTTTTTTTCTGTCTAACCATTAGGGTCATCAAAGAAGGTCTTTTCAGACCTGTGATCTAGACTGTATTCCTGTTATTTTCCCTGTCAGAAGGAAAGTACTTAGTTCTGATTTTTCCTTCCAGTTGGAAGGACATCTATTAACATAACACTCTTCACCTCTCTTTATCCTCGAATTCACTCCTGCTCCCCTAGTGTCTTAATCTGGATTCTCTGAAAGCGGAGCCCCAGATAATACTACATGCATGTAGTTTATTTGGGAAGTGGTCTCAGGGAATAAAAATAGAAAAGAAAGAGGGGTAGAACAGAGTTAAAAAAAAAAAAAAGTTAATACAATTCTTACACAATGGGCCACTGGTACCTGAATCCACGGACTTTGGAGGAATATTACAAAATGTGTCTCAGAGCTGTCCACCCAGAGGAAGAGGAAGGGAATATATCTATGGGCTTTCATCTCCATTGGTCAAGGAGGGCGCCATGGGTGGTAACCTGGATCACACTTGCCTGAGTGTCAAATGTGCACATTCCACACCAAAGCATCATCACAAAGCCCTGGAGCTGGAAGCAAGGTGTGAGAAGAAGTGCTGCCAGGTTGCAATGCACAAAGTTATTTAAAGCCTATGCAGAACTGGTGGCCTCAGCAGAAGCTAGATTAAGAAGTAGGGTGACAGAATATGAAGTGACTATATATAACTCATATATATATATATATATACTCATCAAGAGATACAGTTAAGAAACTAAGCTAGCCACAGGCTGGGGAAAAATATTCACAATGCAGGCCTATAAAAAGTATTTGTATACAGAATACACAAAAAAGTATAACTCAGAAAACTAAATATAAATAGGCAAAATATTTGAACAGGCACTAAAGAATGCTTATTAATGGTCAACAAGCACATAACAATGTGTCCAACATCATTAGTCAGCAGAGAAGTGATAATTAAAAAAACATAGACATTTCATTTCACACCCATTAGAATGAGTCAAGACGAAAGACTGACTAAACCAAATGTAGACAAGGATATGGAGCAACCAGAAGGTTCCTACAGTGTTTGACCACTTTGGAAAACTGCCAGATACTTAAAAAAGTGAAATATACATCTACCCTATGACGTAGCAATTCCTTCAAAGTATTTGGCTAAGAGAAATGGCATAAGTCCACAATAAGCCTTCTACAAGAATGACAGATGTAAGGGCCACACATTTATCCATCAAGAGGAAAAAGCATGAACAAACTCTGTTGCATCCATGCAATGGAACACCCACAGCATTTAAAAGCCCCAAACTACAAATGCATACAACAACATAGATAAATATGAAAAGCATCATTGCTGAGTGAAAGAACCCAGGACACAAAGAAGTAGACAGTTTTTAGCAAAAATAATATATGAATATGAAAACAGATTGGTGGTTTTTGCTCTTGGGGAAGGGTTGACTGGAAATAATTAGAAGAAGCTTTCTGGAGCAATATAAATGTTTCATTTCCTGGTAGAAGAATGGGTTACATGCATGCATGTATTAGTGTCAAAATTGATTGAACTGATTGATTTGAGCATTTCAATAATTATATGTCAATATGGTGGTTTTCTTTCCCTTTTTTTTTTTCCAGAGGATCTTATAGACAAAGTTATTTTATTTTAAATTAAGCTTTTTGTTTTGAGATAAAATTGAAGATACACTCAGATGCCGTTGTGAAAATACAGAGATGCTGTGTACTGTTTAGTCAGTTTCTCACAATGGTAACATATTCCAAAACTATAGTACATAGTCACAAACAGGATATTGACATTAACAAAGTCAAGATACACAGTCAAGAAGCTCCTGGGGAAAAGCTTGAAAATCTTAGCTCTCTGAGCATGGGAAGGATTTGGGGGTTGACTATAGTCTTTTTAGGTTTCGTCCACAAAGCCTCCCTCTGCTCACACTAAAACTTACTTTAAATATTTCTCATAGGACTTTGTCAGCATACCACAAAGTTAGGCAATGAATGAAAGAAAGTTATTGTGGTTCTTTAAGAGGTTTTGTGTGTATAAATTACTTCTCCAATGTGGTGGTCTCCTATATTTGTTGATCCCAATAACCTCTGAATATTGTGTAGTGTCCTTACCTGTGACTATTTTTAAACATTAGAATGTGTCAAAAATAATGTTTTGTCAATATACAAAAGTCAATTGCTTTCCTATATACTACCAACATGCAGTTGGAACTTGAAATTAAAAACAGCACTGTTTATATCACCAACTCCAAAATAAAATACTTAGGTATATAAATCTAACAAAGTATGTATAAGACCTAGATGAAGAAAACTGTAAAATTCTGATAAAAGAAATCAAAGAAGATCTAAATCAATGGAAGGATAGTTTATGTTCATGGATAAGAACATTCTGTCATGTTAAAATGTCATTTCTTTCCTACTTGTTTTATAGATTCAGCATATTCCCAATCAAAGTGTCAGCAAGTTATTTTGTGGGTATCTGAAAGCTAATTCTAAAATTTATATAGAAAGGCAAAAAACTCGGACTAACCAACATGACTTTATGAGGGAAGTCAAGGATTAGCTGATCTCATTCTGTGGAATGAGCATGTTTAGTTGACAACATGCCTATGCACAACAAAGAAGGGATGACATACAGTGGTTTCCAGCCTTCATTCCTAATTCTTTCTAGCTATAAATTTATCAAAAGCCTTAGTTGGGTATCCAACCAATATTAATTGATCATGTATGACATGCAAGTTACTGTTCTAGTATAACTGAGTATCCCAATTTTTCTAAGCGATAAAGAATGAGGTTTTTTCTCTTCTTTTCTCATTCCTCCTTTTCCCCTACTTCTTACTTAGCTCTTTAGAAATGCAATTAAAACCGTTTAACTTCCCTTCAACAGACATAATTATCTAGCTGTGTGCTTACTTAAAAACTCCTGAGCAGAAATCTCTCCCACCAGGAGATTACCTTGAGAGGCAATAGTCAATTTATAACCAAAAGTATGCCTGCTACAAAATTTTCTCCCACTTGAAGAGAATCTGGAGACAAGACCACTCTATAAGCTAGTTCTGATCATCATGGTACCAGCTCAACCACCCAGTAGATCAAATACCAAAGCAAGTCACAGGAACTCCCCACCAGCCATTCCCTTCCCTGCATGCCATTCATGCCACATTCCCTTTAAAAACCCCTGCTTTCTGCTCCAAAAGTGAAGCAGCACCCTTAAGGCAGGAAACCAGTACTCCTTCCCCTAAGCTAGCTGTGGAATAAAAAGTCACGTTCTTTATACCAGACCTCATTTTTCTGTGCTGGATTCTGCAAGCAGTGAGCGACTGCTTTGTAGTGTATTTGGTTGCACTAGCATGGTGTATACAGCAAGGAATATAGCCATGTCGCCACCATGGAGATCTTCCCTGCAGGAATCATGTGGGAAATGGTGGGCTGAACTGGGCTGGATCAGATTAACTTTGTGACATGCAGACTTTGTAAACCCTCTGTTGCCACAGTTTCAGAGGGGTCCTGATGCTGTTGCTATAAAAATAAGTAAATAATAAAAATTAAACCTGAGAGGTCATGTTACTCATTTATTATAGAAAATTCTGAGTTTCCATTTGCAATTCAGGTGTTTAATATAGTGTCTCCCTCAACTGTCTTGAAAGCTGAGTGCTTTCTTCCACAGCTGTCTAATCTCTGCTGCTAGTTACCCTTTGTCCTGGGAAACCATTCTCTTGTCACCTACAGGCC